CCAGTCAAAACCTGTGGTGGCCTTATATAAAGACTATTTTTTGACTGTCAGAAGTGGCCTCATTCCCATGCGCTCCTCTGTCACACACACACACACACACACACACACACTCAGGACCAGCCCTGTCCAGACTGCACAAATCTCCAATCTCACATGTGTGTTTGAGTGCATGTGGGCGGGTCCACAGTGTGTTTCAGTGTGTGTGTGTGTGTGTGTGTGTGTGTGTGTGTGTGTGTGTCAGGCTCCGTGGGAAAGCTCCAGCAGCAGAGGAGGAGGAGGAGGAGGAGGAGGTGGAGGAGGAGAAGCAGGACTCACCGGTCAGCAGTCCAGCCTGCAGCCCCACACAGGCCACCTGCCCCGGACCTCGTAGCAGACGCTCACCGCTGGACAAAAAAAAACGCCTCACGGAGAAAATCATGTTTCCTGAACTTCTTTTTATAGACTTTTACTGACTTTACTGGGAAAACAACCTGCAGCATTGTGATTGTTTTCTTCCTTTGCTGACACCTGAAAATGTTTTTTTCTTTTTTTCTGATGGATCATTAATTCTACATTTCTGCAAGAAGAAAACCTTTCACGGTTTTGACTGCTGGGAAGGAGCCTGAAACTTTACCAACTCCTGGATTAAACAGTTTCCAGGAGCTTTGACAGACTCTGGAAGTTCTTCAAAACACTCCTGTGGGACCTTCAGTGCACCTGTGCCGATCACTAGTGACTACATGATCGATTGGATGGTCACTCTTGCAGTGTACAGCGGTTCTAATCTCTAAACTATATCACAGGAATCCAGAAGGGGTGTTTTGGGTTTTGTGGTTCTGCTGTTTGAAGTCAGACCTCCACGTCTCCTCCGGGGACAGACAGCCAGAACCTCCCCACCGTCCATGCACCATGAAGCGGCCGTGTGAGGACAGCAGCTCTGCAGAGAGTGAGGTGGACGAGACCATCGATGTGGGCAGTGAGAACATGTATCCAGGGTGAGTTACCAAGAACATTTACTCTTTTTTCTCTTCTTTAAATAGTCCAGCGAAAAGCCATAAATGATCAAACTGGTCTATAATATTAATTTATATCTGATACTCTCAATTTTCATGTTGCTCTTGAATCATTTCTGGTTTTCTTGATCGGATAAAAACTGTAGATGAACACTAGTAATGTTAACATTTCTTATATGATTTCAAACGTTCAGGTTAACCTGCTTCTCTTATTTGTCATTTAAAGACTTCTGATTCTGGCTTTAGTCGTGTGTCTGACTAAAGCAAAGAGTCTCTCTGCTCTCTTTACAAAAGTTGCATCAAAACCTGTTGAAGCCCAACAGGTCTGTGGTTCTGATGATTATCATGCAGTTCTTAAATTCGTCTTAGGTTTATAAAAATGTCTTGTTTTGTCAGAAAAACATCAGATAAGAGAAGCAAAGCAATTATTCTTCACATTAGAGACAGGACAAGCCAGTGTTATTTTAGGGTCTACTGCAGATGAGGCTCTGAACTACACATGTATTTTGTAAATGAAGCGCTAAAGTTTCCAATCAGACTTTTTTTAAAAGAGGTTAAACAGAATAGATGTGATGTGACTAAAACTTCTACAGAATCAGAAAGAATTTGTTGCCAAGTAGGTTTTCACACACAAGGAATCTGACTTGGTGTTTTAGTGAACATCAGTGAACAGTAACATCAAGATTAAAGGTTAAAAAGTCTTGCCATTGTATTTATTAAGTCTGACAACATAGATCGTTCTTATTTCTGTTGCTGAAGTGTTTCAAAAATAAGTTCTGCATTCAAAGTGATGTCAGCAAAATGTCAGACTAAAGTAATGCAGTGTAACTTAATTTGTACAAATGCAGCGACATGTCTAGACGACATTTTGTTGTTGTGGCAGCTTGAGGTGGATCTACTCAACTACTTCATGTCCTCAGTTAGTCTGGTTCAGTGGTTCCCAACCTGGGGATCGGCCCCTTCTGATGGGTCGCCAGTTAACTCTGAGCGGTCAGAAGATAACTAAAGGTTTTTTATTTTTCTCTAATCTTTGGTTTTGTTGTGAAAACTTGTATGATTGTTTATTATTTAAACAAAGTCATGTACAAAGTTTAGAAGGGTTAAATTAATCAAACTGCTTATTTTCATCTCCTGTAGCTTGACAAAGTGGATGAAAACGTCTGATTTCATCCTAAACAGTTCAGATAGATAGATAGATAGATAGATAGATAGATAGATAGATAGATAGATAGATAGATAGATAGATAGATAGATAGATGTGGAGCCGATTTCAACTGTTGTATATACATTTGGGTGGATTCATGTATAATAATGAACCATATTTTATAAGCTCCTCACAGGTTTGTATGTAAAATAATACTCTAATGTGAATAATAAAAAAGTTTACAATAAACCTTCCTCTCTTTAGCAGCATAGAGGCATAAAGTATCAAGAAACAAAATAACAAGTAAACTACAATCGCACCAAAGTCTATTTTTTTTCCAAGTGTTAGTGTAAAAATAAATCTCGCAGCAAATTTTCAGCTCAACGTTTCAACACTTTAAAATGTACTCCACTTTCCATACCGCAGATAAATAAACCCAACTGTTTTAAGTAAAAAAAAAACCTGCAGTTTTAATGTGAAAACAGTGCCTCAAGGTTTGCGTTTGTGTGTCTGCTTAACTTGTTGGTGTAACTGTTAGTTTGTTTTTCAGGCACATGAAGGCGTCCTTTATAAGATGTGGATCCCCGACCACGACCACTCAAGTGATGGCGAGGAAGAAACGCAGAGGGGTACAGTTGTTACGCTGATTAACAAAAGAGTTCTGGTTCTGATGTTGTGTCATTTTACAGTTTAAAAAAAAAAAAAATGTTTTCTGTTCTGTCAGATTATTGAGAAGAGACGCAGAGACAGAATCAACAACAGCCTGTCAGAGTTACGGAGACTCGTACCAACAGCGTTTGAGAAGCAGGTGAGTGTCTGTTTCTATACATGAATTAAACCAGATGTGAACTTCAGATCGTCTGGTATTTCTGCCACACATCTGACGGGGCTTTCTCCTCCTCCTCCTCCACTATCTGCTTGTTACTGTTTATAAAATCCACCTTATGGAAATCAACAACAACAACAACAACCTACATGCTAAAAAGATTTATTTTATTATTTGTTTGTTTTTTAGCTTGCTTTCCTGCATGCAAATGTTCCACTAAAGCAGCTAATCCCCGACACTATTGTGTAGGAGCACCACCACTACATCCTGGGCTCAACAGCACCCCAGTCTGGTGTTAGCGCCCCAAGTCACAGCATTTCCCCCTTTAACAGAAGAGTAATGAGGGCAGTTAGACCATTCTCCAGAACTGAAGTAGTGCTGTGGAGATACAGGTCTAGTCATGCAATAGTTTCTATATCAAAATAATCTATTTTAAACCAATATTCTGCAAGCTGTTTAGTGTGTTCAGTGTCTTAACAGCTCATCTACTGTTTTTTTCCTCGTGTTCCTTCTTTTATTCTTCCCTTCTGAAAAATTATTCATGCATTTAACTGTGTCTCATTCACCCTTTTGACTCAGTAACTGTCTATCCATCAGAGACAGAAAAAGCATCAGCAGTAGTGTGAGGTTTAACCAGTGTCCTGTCTGGTTTTATCAGGGTTCAGCTAAACTGGAGAAAGCAGAAATCCTCCAGATGACCGTGGATCATCTGAAGATGCTGCAGGCCACAGGAGGGAAAGGTAACCACAACACCACCACAAAACTGTGACTGTTAATCACACTACAGTCTCAACTATGCTGACTACAAGTAACTGACAATCTGTTAATCACTGATCACAAGTCTTGTTTTTCATTGTTTGACCCTCGGTAACATGATTGTCAGTCAGGCTTAGACAAAGCAACTTTTTTCTTTTTGGTCAGTTTGGTTTGTCAGAATGTCAGTGTGGACGGGACATCAAACAGTCTGTCAGTTTAACAGTTTAGAGAGCTGTGTATGTGAACATGGGAGCATGAATCTGTTTACAGTCACATTGTGGGGACTCATGTTTCGTCATGATTCATGTTATGAGGACAGAAGTCCCTCAAACCACCAACTTTTAGGTTGAAGACTTGGTTCAAGAGTCAGTAAGAGCATGTTCCTTTTACGTTTTTAGGTTTAAGGTTACGTTTATGTACTGTTAGGGTTGGATTGGAGTAGGTTTAGGTTAACATCATGATTAGATTATGTTCCAACTATGTTAGGTTCAAAACAATTGGAGAATATATCAGGGAAGAACATGATCCATTTTGTTTGTCTTTGTTGGTCCCTGATATAACCATAACCTAAACCTGTATATACAGTGTACTCCTGTACAATCCTTGAGAATACCACAGTCTATATTCATACTCTGATCATCTCCAGGAGGGGGTGGAGTCTGGATGAATCTGGCCAATGACGTCTAGGTTAAAACCCATTAAATGGCAACTTGTACTGGAAAAAATTATGTTCATGTAAATAAGATAAATGCAAAAAAACAATAAATACATAAGTGGTTGGCATGTTGGGTTTGATGACGTCTAAGGGAAACTTTTTTACTGGCTTAGTTTAGCCAGACCCCAAACCTGACTTATCTGTGGGAGACCTCAATTATAGCAACAAAAAAAAAATAATAATGTAG